AGGTTCGTTATAAATTTTCATCACAAATATAAGAATAATGATGAATATTAAAGTTGTGTTGAAATATGAGACGTAAAATGTAGCACCAAGTCCACCAATAAATGTATATCCACCAACAACAGCCACTATAATCATTGCAGCTAACTCTAAGCTTAAGTTTTCAACTAGTGTTGTCATGACAGCAGCAGCACCTAATCAAAACCATACGGATACCAAATACAAGCAGTTGAACAATTGAATGAATACAATAAATAGAAACAGGCATTTAACTCTATGTCAACTATACCAGCAACCCCCTACAGTGTAATGCAAAAGTCTAAACGGCGCCACCAAGCGACCCCTCATAGTACAATGTAACACGATATTAATACACTCACCTAACATCAACATGGCTGTTACAATAACATTTGTCATCAGAGCAAAAAAACAAAACACCACATGAACCTTTTTGCCAAATCTCGCTTGTATAACCTGGAGAAATGTTTTGGCACCAGGGGATCGTATCTTCAATTGAATCGACAACATTGCAAAGAGAATGATCTGTATGGTGGCTCCAGATGCATACCAAAACGGTCCACTGATTCCATACTGAAAAATACAAAAATACAATAGTACAATATTTATCAAGGTACCGCTTTTCACTCGTCTAGACATGACACTGTCCTGATGTGATATTGTGGCATTAGTTAGATAATTTTTAATTCAACCTGCAGTTATTTTCCATCAATAATATGTGATTGGAGAGATATGGTCATCGTCGGTTTGTTCAAAGAGTGATGATATCGTATCTTCTTTGTATGATCATTGTGATCAAACTAGATATCAGAAAATTAAAGCCTGGTGCTGTATGCAGTTTCATGTCAAACACACAAGAATTTGTGACTGGGTTAGATGAGATTTGTTTATGATAAACACAATTGTGGTTTGAGGCCAGTGCAAATGGCACAATGAAACCAATGCAAGCCACTGTACATGACATGTGTCTAACACATGTAATCAATGTGATCTTGAAACCAATACTATAATTGAACGAGAGATATGACTGACATATCAGATGATCATATATATATTCATGTGACCTCATTATACACAACTATAAAATTTCGAGCACTATACAGATAGGACAATTCAACCAATACAATATTAAAGACATTGGAAGAAATATTCTAACGTAACATATGACCATATATGATCATGTGACCTTATCAATATGCATACATTGCAAGCACTGTTGCAGATAGAAGAAATACTACCAGTGCAATATAGAAATCATTATAAGAAAGATGTGACTAACATACCAGATGACCATATATGGCCATGCTTATATATCAAGTACTGATGAAGACATGCAACCAAATCTATAATAAAGGGATTGTACAAGAAATATGACTAACATATCAGATGGCCACATTTCATAATATGACCTCATTTAACTGTAACTGTAATATACAAGCATTGATTCACATGGGATAATGCATCGAGTGGAATATTGAATGCATCAGACACGACATATGCCGGGGTATTTATTGTATTCACGCGCGGATTAGGGGGACGCGCCTCCCCTTCAGCCCACAAAAAAAAATAATAAAAACCCAGCCCAACGCAGGTCTACTTCGCACGCGCACCCCCTTACAGAATTTTTGAATCCGCCAGTGGTATTATAATGTATTTCTATGAGCATAACGAATGTTCCATTTGTTTTTCATGTAAATTTAATTGGGCTGAAAATCAAAAACCAATTGACCTATTTTGAAAACTGTATGTGTGGTGAGGTAGCATTCAAAAATGTCCGTAAATTAAATAATAGCCAAGAATAGCATGTCACAGAATAGCACACGTGAGTGTTATCTTGTACATGAGGTGGGAATGATCAAGTGGATACCTATATAAGTACGCTTTGATCACATGCTCGGGGCTATTCCATCTGGCGTAACCACGTTGAACATCATTGCTTGAAGCTCGTACACAACTAATGCAGAGAAGTTGCAAGTCTCAAGCACGGTTACTAGTAACCGTGTCTCAACTGACCCCTAGTAGAACTGACATTGCGGCAAGCTAACTTCAACCACTGCTGGCTGTGAAGATTGGTTCAACACATCGACGGAACTTTCTGTCAGTGTATCCCCGAGAAAGCCAGCGTGTCGTCTTTACGTGGAAAACGTCAACACGTAGTTGAAATAGCTATAGGACTTCGTCGAACACGTTATACCGGGAGAGTCGTCACTGCGCATGCGTCAAATGGCCATAGAGTGTCATTGTTTATAAACAAACCATGAGCCTTTGC